TGAATAGATTTAAACACAATTTAGTAATACTTTTGCCCCCTCCCACCCAAAGCAAAAGTTCAATTATTCCCCTAAGAGGCAAGGAACTATATACAGGAACGCCCAACTCAGATATACGCAAATTGTGTACTGTACAGTGCACTGTGGGAGGAATGTAAACAAACCCAGTGCCCCCACAGAAGTTGAAGGGAAAGGACTAAAGCTCTAATGTGATATTTCAGTCCAACATAAAACAAGTTAATTTATCAAGTTAGAGCGAATACATATGATTTTTGGCTTTTTGGTCAATATGAAAAATTCAATAGCAATATATTTTTAATCCACCCGTTGGGCCCTTTTTTCTTCAAAAATGATGCGTCGGTTCTGAATTCTATGTTTTGATCTCTTCCCACTGATTTGACACATGAGATATGGCGGTTCCTGGTCTATATATTTCTTGCTAGGAGGTATCTATTGTCATTTTTCTGACTTGAAAAGATTTAAGTTCTGTTAATTTCCCTCATTGTCTCTGCTGCGTAATCCGCAAGTCACTTTTACAGAGAAGCGAAACTAAACAATTATCAATTTTCTTTAGAACTCAACAAGAAAAAAAATAAATTATTTATTTATGAAATATAACAAAAACATACAAAATTAAGTGTTTCTGGAGAAAATATTCAAAAACCTCTAAAAGTAGAGGTTGTGGGAATATTTTCCCCTAATTCTAAAAAAAAAATATTTAAAAAAATAGAAATAAAAGGAAAGGGCAAGGAAAGGATAAGGAAAGTTACACATTTATTGTTTACACTATATTTACTATAAATTGGTCGTGGTTTGTTAGTATTTTCCTACTCAGGCTAAAATTTGTGTAAAGGCTCTATCCGAGTAAGAAGTACGTCTTACTAAGTAGCTAATTAATTCAAGAAGATGTTAATCTAGAATTGGATTATTATAAACTTATTCAAATAACATTAGTTGCAGCACTGGTTTATTGGTATTCTAGTAAACCAGTATAAGGATTGCCTGGTGTAGTGTTCACTGGTACCATACCGTCTGGTCTACCCAGTCACGCGGATTTAACTGTTTGTTCCTTATCCCCGAGAGCAGTGACTTTAGATCACAATTGACCCATTAAACATAATTATTTTTGTTGGCATATGCTTTTTAAACGAAAAAGTATAAAAAGACAACTTCGTAAATTGAAAGGCAGTTGAATTATAGACCAACATGTTATTGAATTTAAATAGAAGAAACCGAATTCATTTTGCCCTGGTTAGTCCAGGGTGTGACTGGCATAAACTCATATGGCTGACCCAGACCCCTTTTGTATTATGCGGGTAGAACCATAGTAAAATCAATTATTCATTCTTCAAAATATTTTCTCTTTGTTAAGCTGTTGAGATGATCTGCGAGGAAACTGAGCTCTCTGCCCTGGGTTTCTTCATCGTCAACAGGGTCACCATGGTCAGCATCTTCAGCACTGTTCTTACATACTTCATCATTATTCTTCAATTTTCATAGACTAGCTCAAGTTCCCGGCTTTGTCCGTGTACAATGGAACAATGGAAAACAAATTTAATTTTTTAAATCTAATTTTGAAGAAAAAAATTCTATTTTTTTAGCCTATGTTTCCCCAAGGGTACCCATGAATTCCTTTAATAAATTTCAGCCAATTTGGTCCAGCAGTTTGGCCAGCTTATAGCTATTATATTTACAAACAAGCTTGGAAATCCAGCGCTGCCCAGGTTTCTAAAAGTTACTCCCTCCGTTTACCCGCATTTGAACGATTTTACCGGGAAACTGAATTTTCGCTAATAAAAGTCGACCCACTCAACTTAGAATCTCAAAATCAAGAACATTCCCGTGGGTCTTCCGAGTTCCCCAATCAAAATTTGAGGCAAATCGGTCATAGTTTTCCTGTTTTATGATCGGACAACCAAACAGAAAACAGAGATTACAACTTTATATATATAGATATATTTATATGAGCGGAGAGCTTTATTATATAGATAAAGCAAATACAGGGTATTCCATTAAACATGACAATTTAAACACAATAAAGCCATCCCAGTTCAATTGTTGCATGATCCGAACCGGTACAAAGATTTTCCTGTTAAGTGTAGTTGCACTAGACAGGTTAGTCTAGGCTACCCAGTGTAAAAGTCAACCCAGCACGTTTTCTGTACAACATTGGTTGGCTGTATAAATAAATATACATTAATGCTTTCAACCAAAGTTAAAATTTTGTTCTAAAAAGAATTCATATGAAATTAAGGCCTATTTGCCGGTTTAAATGTCATTTTTCTTGTTGTACAATTAGCATTGCAGATATTTATAAAACTTTGTATTTCTTCAACGATTTTATCTGTAAATGTATATTATTGTTTTACTATTCTAATCCATAAATAAATATATGTAAGGGTGTCTGTACTATAAGGGTGAATCAAAAATATAAAACGAGAATGAACTGCAAAATTCACGAGAATATACTGCAAAATTCACGAGAATATACTGCAAAATTCACGAGAATACACTGCAAAATTCACGAGAATATACTGCAAAATTCACGAGAATATACTGCAAAATTCAGGAGAATATACTGCACAATTCACGAGAATATACTACAAATTCACGAGAATATACTGCAAAATTCACGAGAATAAACTGCAAAATTCACGAGAATGTACTGCAAAATATCTACAGTCTCAGACCAAAGGCTAGAATATGCGATATTTTCTACAACGTGTTCTAATGTGTACAACTTGAGTACACGACCAATTATAAAACATTTACCTTCAGAGATATTTAAGAATCCTTTGCAGATACGAAATACAAAACCTTCAAAAATAGCCAAATTTCATAAATTTTATGTGTTCTGTATAAAGTTAGAGTATTTTTTTTATAATATCTTAATCCCTGAATGGATATCATATGCATCAAGTATCGGTTAGATGGCACTCCAATTTTTGACCTAAATATACTCTATAGTGATAACCAGAAAACAATAGAATAGGGAGACGACATTATGACAATACTTAATTGTATTTGATGTTGTTGCAAAGCAAATAGACTTACAATTGACGCATGAAATCGATCATAAATTTATTGAAATGGGTCTGTTTACATTGCAAAATTATTGTGTCTCTGCTTTTTAAATTTATACTTTGGCTCTAAAAGTCCTATTTCAGAGTTTTCTGGTTATCAATGTATTCTGAGATTGGTGATTTCGCAATAACAAGCATATGCTTCCTATAATTTTTTATTGGAGGTAGTCTTCTTATGGTAAATAGCACACAGATCCAGAAAAAGAGTACATTTAGGCTAAAAATTTAAGTACCATCTGCCAGTTAGCTGAAGAAGACGACCTCGAATCAAAAAGTGTCACAAATGAGATTTTTACAGTTGAAACGATTATCGCCGTAAAAATATGAGGCATATTGCTTGTATATTGTGTGTAGGTCAAAATTTACAATTCCAGTTAGCTAATGAAAACGACATCCAATCAAATACTGTCATTAAACAAATTGTTCTTAGAATTTTTTTTAATGAAGCATTGACTATCGCTGTAATGATTGGAAGCATTCTGCTTGTGCATTGTATTATCAAAGATCTCAGAAAAAGAGAAATAAGGTCAAAATTTGCAGTGCCATTTTAGTCAACAAATGAAGAAGACTTCCAATCAAAAATGTGTAATAAAAGAAATTGTTCTTAGAATTTTTACATTAGAATTGACTATCGCCGTAATAATTTCAAGCAAATTGCTATATTTTTGCAAATTTACCCCCCTCCTTTACAGAGAAGCGAAA